TCCCAGTGTCTGATATGGAGTCCCCAAGCTGGTACACTTGATCAAAACAGCAGGCACTCAGGAGAGGACTAGCATCAGTGGATGGTGAAAGAGAAAGAAGCAGCAAAGCAGATGCAATAACAAAGAAAACAGCACCAATACTCGTGCCCTTGACACCCATTATTGCTCAGACAACAACCAAAAGTTTAACTATGTAATATTACTGCGTGGTACTATCAAGGTTGCTTGCTATGTGATTATATAGGATTGAGAAAGTGTTATAAACCTGTTGGAACTTGGATCAACAATTCGAATCCTAACTGGATTTGTTCTGCAGATGTCAAGCCAAAACAAAATACAACCAAAGTAGCACTATACAAAAATACAATAAGCAGTTTCCTAGACGGAATTGACTTGTTTTTAGATTAAGGTCTCTGATCCTGCTTTTGTTGATCAACTTACAGATCTAGCACCAATTCTACTAGGATTCAAGTATAAGGTGCAATTCCACTAGGGATTAAAGTGCATAGAAGTTGTAATGAGACAAACACCTTTTCTTTACAAACTACACTACATTTTATTCCAGACCACCTGTAATTCAAGTTTGACTAACATAATACTATATTATTTTATTATTTTCCAGCTCAACATGTTGTAATTACTAAAAAAAATGCCCCCCCCCCCCTCCCACCTTTAAATTTTTAATTCTTCAGGCGAAAATGGATGTACATTTTGACCCAGATGCTCTTGATCCTGACGACGAGTACACATTTTATCTATTCTAATTGGATGGTGAAGTAAATCTAAAAAATAAGCGAGTTCAATGTTGGTTCATTCTGGTAAAGAGAGAATGGAATATTGGCTCAAAGATTGGTTAAATAATATAGTTTTGTACCGCTGCTGATCAAATTGCAAATTCAACTGCGTATTAGTAGGGGTGAGCAAATTCGGTATATACCGAATTCATAACCGAATTCAAATTCAATTTGGTAATTTAAAATCAGATATTTGATAATTTGGTACAAATTCGATACGTACCGAATTCACCGAATTCTAATATGGTATGAAATAGGTAATGGGATTATGAATTTGGTAATAACCGATTTCACATTCAAATTCGGTAAAATGAAATAGGGTACCGCATTATCATATTCGAATACCAAATTAGTTTATAAAATTTTATAATATATAGATAAATGCTATTTAGTATTAGTATATACTACTAATATATTATTATATTATATAGGTAAACGCTATTAATAATAGTTAGTACATGGTATTATCATGTACCTATAATAATAATAATATATAATAATGCACAACATATTTTAGTATTTGTTAATTGTTATATGACTATAATAATACAAATATATAGTAATACATAACAATATAACATAACTATAATACTTATTATTTTATACATGAGTAACATGACTAGAATTAGATAATAATTAATACATATATGTATAATACTAAATATTAAACAATAAATATAATTAGTAATTAGAATTTAGATATTGGTAATTTGATACATCATTCATGTTTGAATTATTGAATATTTGAATGCGTAACCTGTAACTTGCAAGTATTTCTATGCTCTAAATTTACATTACATATTTAACATAAAAATTCATATTCTCTATTTACTAATCTTAAGACTTTAAGTATAGACAAGACAACTAAGTAGTGTAAGTGAATGCATATGAATTGCAAATCAATGTATTAGTGTATTGACTTTCACAATAACATATGTAAGTAAATAAGTTTTATTTTGATTTGAAATAAATTATAAGTTTGTAACTAATATAACTTATCACTAATCATTGTAATTTGTAAGTTTGTAACTAATATTACTTATTATTAATCATTGCAAATTATAAATTCATAAATTATCACTAATCATTGTACAGTCTAAGGTTTATTCTAGTTTAAATTAATCACTTTTTATGTGTTCCTTAAATCATAGACTAAGGATTCTAGGTATAAGTGATCAAATAAATGCCAATTAAACCACAAAATGATTAGAACATAAGTAATGTGTTAAATTATGAATAAATTTGGGGATCAAATCAGTAATAATTTTTAAATCATTGAGGAGCATAATGAATGTATTATAATTTAGGAGCCCCAATTTGTAAATTAAAAATTACACAATCACTTCCTTCAGGACCATAACAGGGTTATCTCATCAGTTTTTATATATATATATATATATAAATGAATTCGGTTAGACCGAATTCATTACCATTTCCGAATTCGAAATCGGTAGCGAAATGAATTCGGTTATAGCCAATTCGAAATTAAAAGCGGTTTAGATTTTTATAAGTCAAACAATCAAATTAACCGAATTCAACTAACCGAAACACTGAATTTGTGCCGTTTGCTCACCTCTACGTATTAGAGACTTTGAGAACTTAAAGATCAAATTGTAAAATATAAAACGCCTCCGGCTCCAGATGTGGCGCTTCTTTTGTTCTGGACTTCATAGTCTCTGTGCATTGGAATAATTTTCTCGAAGATGTTAATGAAATTAGTACGCTAAGCCCAGGTTCGCATAAACGTTGACTCATTTTCCAGCGACTTGCATGAGGGACTGGATTCAGGAGATTATTAAACACAATACAAGTGTTATAAGAAAACAAGGGCCACCAAGCATAACCAATAGGGCCGAAAAACTAGTTGTTTCGAAAAGGATCAAACTCAAAAAGGCATTATTGTCTGGAGCTCAATTCCAGTAAGTACAAGCAATTTTATTTAGTAGTCAGTTGTTTCATCGATTATTTTTTCACGATTTATTTTCACCTCTGTTGTATTTTTTTGTAAAGTGAGTGCATTCATTGGTTTTGTGATGTGCTAATATAGGGGTAAATTACTGTTTATCCCCTATAGTTTGTTATATTATACATGACCACTTTAATGTTTAAAAAATCTACATAATCTTTTTTTTTAGTTTCATGAAAAGTTGAAAATGGATGAAAAATAACTCCGGCTATGGCAATTGACATAGACGAACTCTAGAACCATGTCCACTAGATTATAGTGTCCACTAAATTCCCTGTTGTTGTTGCGTATATATACACATAATTTTGCTGCGATATATATAAAATGGTTAGCCCCCTCGCTATCTTTAATATTTAATTAAGAGTGATACTGAAATTTCAATCAATAACATTACAGAGGAAGATTGTGTGGATATTTTGGCATGTTAAGAAATTAAAAGAATCATGTGACAATAGATAAGACAATATGGAGGTACGAAACTAATGGGCCTTAATTGTTAATGGGAAATTTTATTTAAATTTGTGTCAATGAATCAAATGAGCATTTTTTTTTTTTTTACTATTCTTGTGGAGCTTGACGACTCTTTTGTTGAAGACCTTTAGAAAATATGGCTTACTTATAATCACTTTGTTATTATAGTGATTTTGAGATTAATTATTTGTTGTTCCTAGAATGTTTTAATGAGGGATTAAAGCTTCAAGGCTTTTTAACAATGATGATAATTGTAGGGTCTTGCTTAAGTCGCCTAATTCGGCGAGCCTTGCTGTGACAAGTGATAACATATCATCGTTTTGGCATTTTTTTGTGAGAAGGAAAAAGAGAAACAAAAAAAATGTTAAGAGTTTTGATAGGCATTTTGGGGTTTTTATCATAATTTTGTGCTGACATCATCCCAAATTAGAAGGTCAACATTATTTGACTAACAGCAGGAGTGTTTTTTTTTTTATTTTCCCAAAATGACTTCTTTGCCAATGCATTCTTGATTGAAAGAAATCTTCTTGTTGGAAGAACACTTTAGTCCAACAGTAAGACTGGAGCACATTCTATGACGTGATGTAGATCTTTGAGAGTAAGATTGTAAATCGACTGAAAAAAGTGAAAAGAGAAAACATGATAATATTAAGAAGAAATGCAAGTTTTTTTTTTTTTTTCCAAACGATAACATTGCATTAAACAAAGCCAAATACCGAGTCAGAGCAACTGCTCCTGTACATCAGCTTGAGCTAACTCAAGCAACCACGCTAGGAAGCTAAGCTTCCATTCAGCTACATCAATAAGTGTTATAGCAAACTTTGCTAAGTAATGACTTACATAGTTGTTGCTCCTTCTAGTAAAGGAACAGCAACATTTGTCAAAATCTTTCATCAACCTCCAGATATCCCACTGAATTGTGGCTATACTGACTGCCTCCTCCCTTGCATTGATTTTGTCCACAACTATCTTACAATCCGATTCCAGCACCACTTTCCTCCATCCCATTCGTTTAGCTATGACCACAGCTTCTCGTATTGCTAAAGCTTCCTCCACCTGTGCCTCAGCACAACCATCAATTGGTCTTGCCCATGCGCCTACCAATTCCCCTAAGCTATTTCTGGCAACTACACCCCACCCTGCCTTGTTGCTCTTTTGGTCCAAAGCTGCATCCGTATTGAGCTTAATCCAGCCAGCTTGCGGTGCTTCCCACCTCCTGCCCCTCACCTGCTCTCCCATTGCCAAATTGTCATGTTTTGCCCCCCCCCCTCTTGTGCCAGTTGGAACTCGTTCCAATCCACTAATGCCTTATTAACCACCACTATAGGCTCACTGCTCCTATTGTTGAACTGTTTATTGTTCCTGGATTTCCAAATCTGCCACAAGATGTTTACCGTGAGAGTTATGTGTTCCCTTCCTTGCTCTTGAGTCACTGCCCCCCTAAGCTCTTCCCACCAGTGCCAGAAATTATTCCTAAACTCCTCCAAACCATCCCACCTCAATGGCGCCGCCTTCCAGATTGCTCTAGCATTACAGCACAGAAACAACATATGCTCTAATGTCTCAGAGCTATCGCCACAGCACTTGCACTCATGATCCCCCTTACCACATTTTCCTTTCACCACTGCATTAGTTGGCAATATTCCTTGTAGACATTTCCAAATAAAGTGTTTAAGTTTGTTTGGCATGCTCAAGCCCCACAAAAAGCTCCAGTTTTGAGACTTGAGCATCCTACTACTGCTTGGTTCTGAAGTTCCTCCCTGCTGACACTATCTTCTCTTCATTTCCTTGATTAGTTGATAACCAGTCTTAACTGAATATACACCAGAACTTGATCTTGCCCAATAGAACCTATCCATTACCTTCCCCAAGCTCAGTGGTATCTTTAGTATTTGCAACCTATCCTTCTCCTCAAATTCCTGCCTCAACAGCTCTCTATCCCACTTGCCATCCCTGATCAATTCACTAACCCTCTGGATCTTGCTATCATCCTTCCTCTGAGATCTTATCTTCCCATCCTCTATTCCTGGCAGCCACCTATCTTCCCAGATTTTAATAGATTCCCCATCTCCCACTCTCCTTCTTAGTCCTTCCTCCAACACTTCTCTGGCACTCAATAAACTTTTCCAACACCAAGAATCTGAGCCTTTTGGTTGTATATTCCAAATAGATTTCCTACCAAAGTACCTTGCTTTCATAACTCTGCTCATCAGCAAATTAGGCTGCATCAAAATTCTCCATAGCTGCTTCCCCAATAATGCTAAGTTGAAATCCTGCAAGTCTCGAAATCCCAGACCCCCTTCAGCTTTGATGTCTGTCATTCTACACCATTTTATCCAATGAATTTTCTTTTCATCCTCCCTCTGTCCCCACCAGAATTTAGCCATTTCTGAGCACACATTCTAGCACAATGCCTTTGGCAGTCTACAGCAAGACATGGCATATGCAGGGAGAGCTAGGATGACAGATTTCAGTAAAGTCTCCTTTCCTGCTTGACTGAGAAGTTTTTCCTTCCAACCCCCAAGTCTTTTAACTGCTTTCTGTCTGATGAACTCGAATACTTGCCTCTTTGATCTTCCTATAACCATAGGAAGCCCAAGATATTTGCTCTGATGAACCTCCCTCATGCCTTCCAGCTCCTTAAGCACCTCTTCCTTTCTCCTTCCTTTGACATTTTTGCTGAAAAAGATGGAGGATTTATCTTTGTTGATCAACTGATCAGATGCTCGCCCATATTCTTCCAACACCTGCATGAGCTGCACCGCCTCCCCAACCTTGGCTCTGCAGAAAATCAGTGAATCATCTGCAAAGAAGAGATGAGACAAGCTAGGAGCTTCATTAGCAATCTTCATTCCAGACATTCTACCTTGTCTATTAGCTCTTCTGAGCAGAGCAGAAAAACCTTCTGCACATATCAGAAAAAGGTAGGGGGATAGGGGATCCCCCTGCCTTAAGCCTCTAGAAGGCTTGATAAACCCCCTTTTTTCCCCATTAACATTCACAGAATATGTGACACTAGTGATGCACTCTAAAATCCACTGAATCCAAACTGGACAAAACCCCATTTGTTGCATCATTTTAGCCAGAAACACCCATTCAACCCTATCATAAGCCTTAGACATATCGAGCTTGATAGCCATATAACCATCTTTGCCAGTTCTCCTATTATTTAAAAAATGAATACTCTCATGTGCCACTATTACATTGTCCAGAATCTGCCTATTAGGCACAAAGGCAGACTGAGAAGAGCTAATGCAGCAGTCTAAGACAGTTTTAAATCTGTTGACAAGAACTTTTGAGATAATCTTGTAAGTGACATTACACAAACTGATAGGTCTAAACTCAGTAATTAGATTGGATGACTCATTTTTAGGGATAAGGCTGATCAAAGTCTCATTTATAGACTTTAGGATATGACCAGAGTGAAAAAAGCTTTGAACTGCACTAATAACATCACATTTGACATCAGGCCAAAATTTTTGAAAAAAGATAGGGGGCATACCATCTGGGCCAGGAGACTTGTTTGGGTGCATGGAGTTTACAGCATGACTGATTTCTTGGTCCGAGACAGGCCTTGTCAACTTTCTGTTCATATCAGCAGTTATAGACTGTGGAATCTCCTCCAAAATAGCATTGAAGTCAGTTGGATCATCAGAAGTGAACAATTGTTGGAAATAGTCCACAATTTCCTCCCTAACCTCCTCCTCATTCCTACACCACTCCCCACTTCTCCTTTTCAGCCCATTAATCCTATTCTGCTTCCTCCTGCTCATAACACTAGCATGGAAGAAGCTAGTATTTTTGTCACCCTCTTGGAGCCATTTAATTCTAGCCTTCTGACTCCAATAAACCTCCTCTCTCTTGTAAGCCTCCACCAGCTTCCTCTTTAGTCCTATAATCTTTGTTCTATCCTCTCTGCACAGACTTTCCCGCACCTCTTTAAGTTCCTTTTTAATCTGTTCTATCTGTTTTTTTGAGTTTAGATTCATTTTTTTGCTCCAATGCAGAAGATTCATACGAACTTGTTTAATTTTATTCTGCATTCTATACAACCTAGACCCCTGCTGCTCCTTCCCCCATGCCTCCTTGATCACCTCCCTAACCCCCTCCTGTGTAATCCACCTCTTATCAAAGACAAATCTCCTTTTCCTTGGTATATTCACAGGAGCCAGATCCAGAACCAAGGCACAATGATCAGAGGCTTCTGTTTCAATATGAGTAACTTTAGCTTTTTCAAAATTTCCACACCACTGCTTAGTACCCATCACTCTATCAATCCTTTCCTTAATCACTCCATCATTGTCCCTGTTATTACACCAGGTCCAAGGCACTCCCTCAAAACCAATATCTATCAGGCCAGTCCTATTAATGAAACCAGTGAAACAATCAAAACTGCTAGCAGGCCTGATTCTACCCCCCCCCCACTTCTCCCCATTAGAGGTGATATCATTCAAGTCTCCCATTAATGCCCAACAATCACCCCAAATCTGTGTTCTCTTCTCTAGCACCCTCCATTGCTGCTCCCTAATTTTATCATCTGAGCTAGTATAGGCACACACACACCACCAATCCCTACTTCCTCCCTGATCCCCTATAAGTAATTCTATAGTAAAACTAGTAAACAGGATACTTTTCACCTGTATATCCCTCTTCCAGATTACAGCTAAACCACCTGCAATCCCCACGGGATCTACTACAAACAGATCATCAAACCTTACCCATTGCTTAACACTATTTATAAAGGTCTTTTTCTTTTTTGTCTCTGATAAGAATATCAGAGATGGAGAGTGGACTTGAACAAGTTCCTTAAGTTGGGGAACTGTCAAGGGGCTCCCCACACCTCGACAGTTCCACACTAGAGCTCTCATTGAGGGATGGGAGCCCCATTAAGGGAGGACTCCACCACCTCAGTCAGCATCACCACATCCTCATTCACTGCAATCAACCTGGCTTTCTTCTTGCCATCAACCTCCCTCAGGTTCCTGTCCAGCTCATCCCCACCTATTCCCTTTCTCCTCTTCCCAATTCCCATACCATTCTGAACAGTTCCAATCTCAGCCAGAGGCCTCCTCTTACTCACCTCCTGCACCAGTCTTTTCCATGTCTTGCTAACCTTATACTTCCCCTTGCTAGTTTTATTATCCTGGTCGTCCTGCTGATCTTCCTTCCCACCCCTTTCCCCTTCCTTCATATTCCTACCCTTGTGCACACAGTGATTGTTCTCACCATCAACCCACATCTTATCCTTACCACTACATCCCCCCCCTGTACTCCCCTCATCCACTGCCTTGAACATCAGCAAGTCCCCTCCCTTCACTACTTCAGCTACCTCCTTTACCTCCTCTAGGATCTGCCCTGCATGCATACTACCTAACCCTCCTACCAAATCCTCACCAATCCCCGCACCCTCCTGCATCCCATTCCACTCTTCTCCTTGGCCCCCCTAGTTGCTGTTCCCCAGTTTGCCTTCTCATTGGATTCAATATCTGGCTTCCCTTGCCCCCTATGAAATTCATTAGTATAGGTGAGCAAAGGATACGGCAGGCTCCCAGTTTCCCCATCTGAGCTCTGATATCTATACCTCCCATTCCCTGATGTTTCCTGATCCCCATCATTCCTGCCTTTTTTCCTTGGGCTCCTAGGGAAACTGGCTCGAAGCCAGTTGCCATACTGATTCTCCCTATCCACATCAACCCCTTTCCTGTTACAAATTCGCTCATTATGTCCTATCAGTCCACAACAAAAGCAGAAATCAGGGCATTTTTCATACTTAAATTCAATCCATCTAGTTCCTCCATTACTTTTAACCATAGAACCTCTAGGCAGAGGTTCCTTAAGATTCACTTCAGCTAAAATTTTAAGGTGTTTACCTTCCTTACCCCCTCCCTGAGGAATAATGACCTCCCTTACGCCTGCAAATATTCCCCCTATTTTACGCCCAGCCTCCTTAGTTACCCAGTGAAGAGGTAAGTTCCAAATCTGAACCCACATTAAAGTCCTACAAAACGCCTGCTCTTTCTCCTCTAAATCCGCCTGCCATTCCAGTAACACCAGAGGCTGGCCATCATAGATCCAAGGTCTTTTGCTAAGCACTAATTCAATATCCTTCCTGGACTCGAAAATAAACTGAAACATATTTACCTTAATCTCAGTAATTTTAACGTTTTTCAACTGAGGCCACACATTAGTAGCAAAACTCCTCATACCAGTTATGTTAGCTGTTCTATCCCCCCAAACTCTCCCTATCAGACTCAACCTGCATTCCTTCACGCCTTTTTCCAAATCCTCAAGACCTAAACAAACTCCCTCCTTCTCATTCGCAGATAAAGTAAATTTCCTCATTACCTCTTCAATGTGCTCCATCTTCGAAAATTCCACAGTCCAAGCTGCCGCCAATTCCAGATTGTTGCAGAACCAACTCAGCCTCAGAAACCGTCACCGTTATCCAGCCTTCCAAGCTTCGCCTCCCAGACCACACTGCTACGCCCCTAGATCAACAATCTAGCTGAGAAACCTGAAAAGCACCAGACAAACAGAAGACACAAAACAACAAAGAAAAGAGGAAATCTCCGCAGCGAACACGAAGCAAAACTACCCGCGAACTTAATGATGAGTTATATGACTATCAACTGTAAATGTTAAGGCTAATCAAAAGAAGATTGACGAACTTAATCGAAGCGACTAATATAGAAAGGATGCTAAAAAGAAATGGAGATTTGATGAAGAGGATCTGTTATGTTGAGATACGGAATGTTTGAAAAGTTGTTAGAAAAGCACGACTCCCACAGAAGGGAGATTTCTCTCTCTAGAATAGAGAGAAAAGGCTCTCATAGTGAGAGAATGAAATGCAAGTTGAAATGAACTGAATTTTGAACCAAAAGCAAAAGGGAACCACACAAATGAGGGAACAAGTCTTGCTTCAAAATTTGCCCACTGCTGAGAATGGGGAAATTTAGCTATCATTTCTCTTTGCAGTTCTGTTATTCACTACTTGACACTGCCAGTGCACCCTGGCGAAAGTACAAAGCACTTGATGTTAAACAGCATTAAAAGCACACACATTATCTGGCTTCAACATGGATTATAGAAAATCAAAGGGCTAAATACTTTCAACATGTTATGTGTCTCAACCAGATTTTCAGTTCTGTTTTGGTTATGCTAGAAAATCCAAAGACAGATTCATAAAGGAAATTGGAAGCATCAGCGTCGCTCCACGCTGCACTCGAAAAATTTCAAGATGATGGTGGCAGGATTAACCTAATCAATGCATGTATGCTTTTTCCTATACAAAGGAAGGAGGAGGCCTCCGTACCCTAGTAGCTTGTTCAAAGGCATAAGCAATTTCAATCAGCTTCGGCTCACTGCCCTTCAACCCTCCAAAACAGATCCCAAATGGCATGCCATCCTTTCCATAACCAGCTGGAACAGTTATTCCTGGAAAACCCCCAATTGCGAGAACAGCACAGCCACGCGATCCTGGTGTTACCATTGCATCCAACTGATATTCTTGCATCATTTTCTCGAATCCATTTTTAGAAAGATTATCCAGCATCTCCGCTGCAGCCTTCACTTGGTCCCCAAATCCTTCTGTTCCTTCGGCACTGATAAAAGTGTGCTGATCATGATCATTGAGCTTTTCCTAGTATACAAATGCGACACAGACTAATGTTTTACTCTTCTAACGAAGGCATGAAAAGAGCATTGCAGAGGCACAAAAGTTAAGAAGCTCATTTGAAATAGTGCATATGTGATGATATAACAACATAAAGTCATGTGGAATACCAATTCAGGGTTGTTCTCATTGAAGGCAATTATGTCAGCCAGTGAACTGACAGGAGAATCAATCAGCTCTTTCAGGTAAGCATTAATGGAAGTCTTGAATTCAGCCATCATTACCAATATTTCGCCACTGTGATTGGGTTCTAGAATTGTCTCAACATCTGCTATTTTCAGATTATCCGCTACCACTGCACCTTCCTGTCTTTAAAAGTTTCAAGAAGATTCAGTTGGCATTTACAGATATAGAAGCACAAGAAAACATCACAGCCAAGGTATAGAAATATGTCAACATTTCAAGCGGTTTGGGTCTTGTAGCCCTTATAGTCTTCAGCGCAATTGCTCCTCTATAGACCATAGACATAAAATTAGGAATAGCCTGCTAATTTTTAGTACAATAAAGGTTGTTGGTGGTTGTTTCTAACTGATCACTAGCCGTTTTTATGTTTAAACGGTCATGGTGCTCTTTTATTTGCATGCCATTTAGTTACGACTGCCTCCTTCATTTATCCCTACAGTAATAATAGCCGTATTAATTTCTAACCTTATTTTGTCAACATGATGCTTGAAGGATGCACTCTCAGCGGAATCATGTATCTTTTCCAGAAATGGATGTGTAACAATGCCTAATCTCTTTCCTCTTAAACCATCTCGTCTAAGAAATTGTTTATAACCTCCATTGGGAAAAAATTTAGAAGCTTCAATGGTCGCTGCATCTCTTGGATCATAACCTGCAATCACATCAAGCAGATAAACTGCATCTGACACGGTCCTGCATTGTAAAACCATATAAGAAGAGTGTTCTCAGTTAAAAGTAAGTGCGAGAGCTGTTCAACTCAGGCACATTTTAGAGTCTAGAACACATTTGGATTCATGATCACATAATCACAAAACAATCATCCTTTAGTGAAAAATTTGCAGATTTATGAAGCATTAGAAGCATGTGTTTACCCAACGGTGTCCCAGCGTGGTGCCATTGGTATGACACCTGCTCGACTGGTAAGCCCAACAGTAGGTTTGAAACCTACCACGGAGTTGTGATCCGCTGGACAGATGATGGAGCTGTGAGTCTCCGTTCCTAAAGAGACTGCCACCATATTTGCAGCTACAGATATTGCTGATCCACTGCTTGACCCACAAGGTGTTTCAGAGTGAACATAAGGATTCTGCATATTTTCAGGAAAAAAAAACATTAACTGGATTTCACCATGTTATTAATTAAATCCAAAATCAGATTACAGAATTTATTGTATATTCAGGAGGTAAATTAATATCCACAAGTTGGAAAGATCCATATAAAGATTCTGAAAGAGATGACAACAAATATAGCAGAGTAGCCGTCAAAGAAAATGAGCCATCGCAAGGGAAATATTTGTGTAACCCCTTAGTTGAGCTGGAATCTTCACAACCTTGACTTTTGAACGTACTGTCCAGGTCGGATTCGTGAGATCCCAATTTAGGCATGATACAAATCAAACAAGAATTCATGAGATCCCAATTTAGACACCAGATTAGCTGGAGATGCTTAAGAACACTAAAATCTCGTAGAGAATCTTTGGTCTGCTTGTCCCAGCATGGAACCATCTTAATGTTCATCCAACTATACTAGCTACTACGCCATTTTCAATAATTCTTGAAAATAGTACATGCCCTGATTCTCTTTTCGCAAAACTCTTTGGCTAGTGCATACACAAAAACAAAAAGACAGTCTTGTACATTTTGGGATGATGAACTAAATCAAAGTACTATCTTCCTCACATTACCAATTTTAGGACTTACACAAATTTTAACTCTCCCTTTGCCAAAAAAATGTCAGACTTGATAAACTTCCGATGTTTTTAAAATTAATAACCTCCTACAACTTACAGATCTTTACTTATCCATATAAGAGAACACCAGCTACAAACATTTTAATGTAAATGTATTGAAACCCTTTACTCTTACACTAATATTTTTTTCCATAAACTTTGAGTCGAAATCAAAGGTAACAATGCCTTTCAGGCAGAGCATCAACGAACATAAGTTAGTACAGGGCATGGAAAGGAATGCAAATCAAGGGAAGCTATATAAAGGGGGAGATTTTGGTAAAAAAAGAAATGCTAGTATTCAGCATAAATGCGACTAGTACTTACCACTCCTTGGCCGGCTCTGGCACACCAACCATTAGGAACTCCACTTAGAGAACGAAATTTATACCATTCACTCATACTAGCTTTACCCAAAATGATAGCCCCTGCCTTCCTCAGCTTCTCCACCACTCCAGCATCCCTAGCAACTTTTGAGCCCATCAAAGCATAGGACCCTGCAGTTGTATTCATCTCATCTTTGGTCCCAAATACGTCTTTTAGCAGCACTGGAATCCCATGCAAGTCTCCCAATGTCCCAAGAGATCCACCGCCATTTTTCTGCCTTTCTTGATCAGCCTTGTCTGCTAGCACCCTCGCATCAGGATTAACTTCAATCACACCTCGCAAAATGGGATTGAGGGTGTCGATTTTCTGCAAGTAGAAATCGACTAGCTGCCTCGTTGTGAGCTTGTTTTCTGCATATGCTTGGTGGATTTCTTGGATGGTGGCTTCTTCTATTGTAAAGGAATTGCTGCTATCCATTGTTTTTTGCGTGCTTTTTCCACAGAAAATTTTTTCTTGATTGATACTGAATGGTGTGAAGAAAGGTGGTATCTAATGCGGATCTTGCTTTGATGTGTTGCTTTGGCAAAGGTTGAAGTAAAGACTACACTTGAAGTACAACGATACAAAGAAAGTCAACCGATCCAGCACGGAAGGTACATTCGGGACATTACTGAGCGTGATTGGACAGTTGATTATTTGTGATACTCACTCATCCCAATTATTTAGTCATGTCTGCGAATTCAACTTTTTAAAAATAATGATTTGATTGTGATGTTTTATACTTTTATTTTTAATTTTATCCTCATAAATTCAAATTTTAAATTTGAATGATAATATACGTATGATTAAAAAGAAGGATTATATTGAAAAGAGAAACTAAAAAGTGCTTTAACTTCTCCAATCTGAAAATTATTTTGGAATATACTAAAATGGAAAGTATGACACTTTCAATAGAACGAAAGGATAAAATTACTCAAGTAGTTAGAAAATGTGTTGATTATAAAGTAAATAAATTTTGTCAAATAATTTAATATTCAAACAAACTCGCTAGAACTTTCCTAGTAGAGATGTCCATGAACAAAAATTGGTTAGAGACTAAAAATTATATTTCAAGGATTGTTAGTCATATATATAAGGTCTTGGACTATCTTGTTCATTGTCAATTGATTATGAGATGAAAATTCAAGTATTTTATCGTGGTATCAGACACGCTTGTTTGTTACCTATTTTTTAACATAAGTGTGAGGATTTGAATTAAAAATTTCTCATTTATATTTCCTCTCTCATATTGCTCAACCCATCCCTCCTCCTTATTTATTACCGTATTTATTGGTTCACCCGTGACTTAGTTCTTTCTCTGCTAAGTTAAGCCTAGTTACTACATGACTTGGTTCTTTTTCTTTTTTTTTTTTTTAACTAGGTTAAGCCATTTGGCAAGTGAAATGCGAGGGAAGTGTTAGGAGATTAAAAATATCCAAGTTTTTCTACTGGGTTATGTGATAAAAGTCCAAGTTTTTTATTAGATACCATAAATTGATGATACCTGTGTAATTTAAGATTGATCGAGTGTAAAACAATTTTGATATAGCAATACAATAATTAAATTTGGCTCCGGATTTTTACTTTGATAGACTGAATTCAGATTTTGGCTTTGTTGAAGGACTCTAATGGAATTAAGCTTTAATTTAAGGTTCCAAAAATTCTTCCTGGGAGTTTGCGGCGCAAGAAAGATGCTTTAATCGGAAATTACGAGGTTAAAGCTCGATTCTCCGAAGTTTGTAAGTTTCTTTTCTTCTTGGTATTTTTTTATTAATTATTTTTTCACTTGTTTGCATCCTGATCAATATGATTTACGTACTCACTAGAACAGACAGTGGCATGTGACCGACCCGATTAAATATACTAAGTGAATAATTAAATTACTTCTGGATTCAATCCCTCTAATTACAAAATACATATGGAAGATTTCTGACCCACGATTACAAATGAGACCCCACATGCATGAGGTTTTAATCTATGAATGCAAGGGGCTAATTTAGATTTTTTAAAAAATAATTTCAGGACAAGATATATATTATAAGTTTTTTTTTTGTTTTTTTGTGGGTATCTTAAATTTTTTTTTTTTTTTGAGTTTACATCAAGAGAAGGTGAAATAATGGAGAAATGCTGAGGATATTTGTAATTTGCTGCTGCTATGAAATCAAACTCTACATAAACGCCTCGGGGGAATGGGTTGGGTAATATAGGAAAAGGAAGTGTAAGTGAGAAGTTTCTGATTTGAAATCTTTTATATATACTAAAAACGTATATACATTGAAGAATTATATTGGATAGTACCATAAAATGGATTACGAGAAGAAGAAAGGGGTAAAAAAAAACTCCACATAAACATTAGCTTCACAATAATTGGCTACAATCAATTAGCTATGAGGAGTTCGGCTGGTGCTTCCACTATTAGCCGTTGACCATTTCAATCTACCTACTAATCCACCAGCCAAAGATAGCTAGCATCAATAGGTCATCAACATAGAGGGATGAAATTGTTTGATGCTCATTGTCACCTCCAAGATCCAAGAATCCATAAAATCTCCCCTCAGATAATCAAAACAGCCCTTGATGCAGGAGTAGTCCATATTGCTGTCAATGGAGTTTCTGAAAAAGACTGGCAGTCGGTGAAAGAAATGAGTGGAGGCAATCTTTGTATTATTCCAAACGTTGGTCTCCATCCCTGGTTTATCCCTGACAGAACTCCCAATTGGCTGAACAATTTGAAGGAATTTCTCGAGTGGACCCCTGAAGCTGCAGTTGGAGAGATTGGATTGGACAAAGCACCATGGGCAAGTCATGTTGATTATGCAGATCAACTTGAAGTTTTTAGTCAGCAGCTTCAACTTGCCAAGGAACTCAATAGGCCAGCATCAATTCATTGTGTGGGAGCTTTTGATGATATGATTGAAATATTGAAATCTTTAGGGCCATTCCCTGCTGGTTTCTTGCTTCATTCTTACATGGGTTCTGCTGGATTAGTTCCTGAACTAGCTAATCTTGGTGCTTATTTTTCGATTTCTGGACATCTCATGCCTGTGGAAGAAAGCAAGGCAAAGAAGATTCTGCAGGCAATTCCTCTTGAAAGAATTTTACTAGAAACTGATGCCCCAGATGCATTACCAAAATCATTAAATTCAGGTTGTTTGCCTATTGTTGCCAAGGAAGCTTCTATACTCCAAGATGAGGGAGGAGACAGATCAGAGTTGGCAATAGATACCCTTAATCATCCAGCCAACATTCATCATGTGCTTAACTATGTTGCATTTTTACTTGAGATGGACAAAGAAGAACTTGCTCAGATCAGCTATGAGAATGCAAGAAACATCTTCTCTTATGAAGGTTCAAAAATTTCTGCTTGAAGGTCACATTTGTGCTTTGATTACAACAGTTTGAAATCAGGAAGGATAGATTGTCATATCATATGGAATGTTACAATTTATCTGATGTATGAATCAAGTCTGCTTCTTAGTTCTATAACATATTATATATTATTCAATCATCCATATCATTTGATGGGACATTTTGATGACAGCAACTTTTGGATCATAAAATACACATAAAAATTGAATTAAAATTAATAAAACAAAACTGTGTCCAATTATCACTTCAAAGTTCACTTGAGTCATTTTGCTCATGGATGTGCTTGAGTTTTCATAAAAGAATGTTTGGACTATGAGAATTACGGTGTATTTTTCCATAATTCATAGTCCTCTTGATTTCCCTTTCGTTGCTTACAGGATAGTGTTAATGGTCCAGATAGGACCACTTGAATGAACAAGACTAATCCAATTTTGTACACATTCTTCAAAGTACTGTACAGACAAAACTGAACATGTTTTTTTTAGGATATAGAATAGCGAATGTACGAAAACGTGCACCGTAAAATCTAATATGAGTTGTCCATTTTGGAGGCCCATGCATTGGTGACTCATCCTCCACAAACGCAAGTATTCATGATCATGGAGTCCTAAGGTTTTGCTTTTGATTCTAGAAACAATCCAGAGTGGGAGATTCATTTTTGATGGGATGTGCTCATTTTAGTAATTCAAGTTCTTGGTCTCAAACCTCGTACAAGACTTCGGCTATCGACTCATGTCCACATATATCGATGATTTGGGTCCTCCAATTTTTCAATTTAGTCATTAAAATTACATGTCATTCTCATATAGTTTTGAAAAGGATCATGTCAAAATTTAGCTTCTTCAATGGAGTTAGTCAGTAGAAGGGCAAACTAAAAACATATTTTGAAGTTTTAATGACTAATGCGGATTGAGATGGATGAAGAGAACAAAAAAAAAAGAATAAAAAGTTAAAACTAATGTATATATGATCAGTATACAACAGATTTATCCTTTTCTTATTTGGCTCAATTTTTTGTGTTAAAAACAGAAAGAAAGGAAATGGATTGAAATGGTAAAACTTAGTAAAACTTTTTAATCACCAAAGCTGAAGAAAAATGGATAGAAAATGAATTAGATGCACCAAAAGGATTATTGGTAGTTTCCCTTTTGCTAGTATTTGTTGGTTTTTGTTTACATGGACAATGACAATCCTACAATTAGACAGGCAAAGTGGCAAACTACCAATATCACCTAGACACGATTTTGGGAGAAACGTTGCTAACTTTCTGACCAGTCTTTTCACTTTAGTTTACCAAACATGGATGATTAGATTCCATTGGGCTCAGGGTGAAATGGTCAAAGGGAAAATTACTGTGTAAATATGGTGACTTGTATGGACCATTGCATTTAAAACCATGAGAAAAGTGCCAAAAATGTTTTTGTTTTTGGTACAATATACCAGTGGAGCAGTACTTAGTTTGGATTGTAATTTTTCATCTAAAATATTTTATGTTTTTTTTATCATATTTTTTTAATTATTTTTTATATAACATATATCAAAATTACTACAACATAATTTTTTATAAAAATTTCAAAAATAGCAATCTAAACGAATTCAAGTCCACAAGGTTTTTCAAAAAAAAAATAAAAAGAAAAAACTTAAAGGTACGAGATTTTGTCAAAAGAGGTAGTTAGCCTTGAACAATTACCGGTTAGTGCATAGTATTTATTGGTTTGAGCATAGCTTGAGTATTATAACTAATCGCCCCCTCTGGGCAGCTCGGGCGGACTTCACGACCTTAGTTAAGGCGTCGGTCCTGGTTTCGATTCCGAGCTTGGGCTGCCTGGGGTATTTTCCTGAGGATCGGTGGGGCCCGCTCTCCTCGGGGTTGGTGGGATTAGTCGGGTGGTCCCGGATACCCCCAACTGAAAAAAAAAAAAAAAAAAAAAGTATTATAACTAATCATTTGTTGACTTTTCTTGTGTACGCATTCTTTACCAAAAAGATTAATAACAAATGATAAAGCAAATTAAAAAAAAAAAAAAGTCATCTGCATATGCAAATATTCGTAACGAAAGCGATAGACATGATAGTAGAAAGAAGAAAGCGCGTCAAATATGAAAAAATAAATAAATACAAGGAAGAAGAAGATAAAGGCAAACAAAAGAAGAAAATT